TCCTCAGCACCGAGCTTCCCGGTACCACAACCCTTCACGAGACAGGCGGACCTGGCAATCTCCTCCATGCTGGGAACACGCCTCTTCAGCACTGACAGTATCCCAGTCAGACCAGGACCGACCCGAATAGGCACTCCTAGCAGATCTGCACCTCCATTATTTAGTGATGAGGATGATTCAGGTCTTTATACCCCTCATCATTCCTCCCCAAAACCGAGACCCTCTCACCAACAACCAACTATGCAAGGACAAAGCTGGTAGGCACAACCATGGATACCACCACCTGTTATGTCACCCAATTGGTCACAGTGGGACATCTCCAGAGCCCAAAATCTTAAACCCCCCAACCCACCAACATCAAGCGCCACCCAGTCCCCTTCACTACACTGCCACCCATCCATATTTCGTCCCCGGACGAAACAATTATACCACCCCCTCCCACCATAGGACATGATTTCAAGTCCTTCCAGGACTTACTCAAAAGAGTTGCAGAATCCCTGGACATCTCTTTAGCAGAGCTGCCAGAGACCCAGCAGAAACTTACTGACATCTTGCAGGCATCCCCGTCAGCAAAGATAGCTCTACCCATTAACTCAGCCTTAATGGACCCTGCAAAGACAATATGGCAGACACCTGCCACTGTCCCACCATCCTGTAAATGCTTGGACAGAAAATACTATGTACCAGGGAAAGGAGCTGAGTTCCTATTCACTCATCTGGCTCCTAATTCACTGGTCGTAGAGGAGGTGCACCAAAGGGGAAAACAACCCCAGTCAAAAACTATACCTTATGGACTGGACTGGAAAAGGCTTGACCTCTTTGGATGCAAATCTTACTCCTCGCCTCATTGCAATTTCATATAGCAAATTATTCAGCTCTCTTAGCAAAGTACACCTACAACTTGTTCAACAAATTTGAGATCCTTTATTGATCAACTGCCAGAGGAAGCAAAGGAACAATACAAAGCCAACGTTGAAGAGGGCTCCTTAATTGCCAAAACAGCCCTGCAAGCCTCCCTTGACTCTGCTGACATGGCAGCCTGATCCATAGCCACGTCAGTTGTAATGCGTCAAGCATCATGGCTTCGCCTCTCTGGATTTCCTAGGGAAGTACAAGCCACAGTTGAGGATGTGCCCTTTGAGGGCCGAAAACTATTTGCTGAGAGCACAGATGCATCTCTTCATACCTTAAAGGACTCGTGAACAACCTTGAAGACCTTGGGTATTTACATTCCCCCCCAAACAAGAAAAAACAGGGCAGATTCTATACCCAAAGATCCCGTCCTGCCCTGTACTCCCAACCCCAGAAACAATTTGATCAGTGCCGCAAACAAAAACAAGCGAGGCACAGGCAGAACCAGGATCAACCTGCCACATCTCAATCTTCAACATCCCGTCAATTGTTTTGAAGTATTGGTCGAGGGCTCGAGACTGCTACCTTCTCCCATGCCAGATTATCAGATGACCTCCAGTCTCTTTGGAGACCGTCTGCTATTGCACTATCCAGAACAACATCACTGCAGACAAATGGGTGCTGAAAATCATCCAGAAGGGTTACTCTATCCCATTTATATTTCTACTCCCCCTGCCCACCCACCTTCTCCGTCCCTCTTCAGGGACCCCTCTCACGAGACCCTGTTGCAGCAGGAAATAAACCATCTCTTGCAACTAGGAGCCATGGAAATATTACCACTCCAACACAAGGGAAGAGGGTTTTATTCCAGTTATTTTCTCACACAGAAAAAGAACGGCGGATGGAGACCCATTCTGGACTTACGCAGACTCAACAAGTTTGTACTGACACAATGCTTTAAAATGGTAACCCTGGTAACCATCATCCCGGCATTAAAAAAAGGAGATAGGCATCTTGTAGGTTGAAGGATGAGAGCCCACTTTCATGTCACCATTCATCCAGCGCACAGAAGATTCCTGTGCTTCACACTAGGCCATCAACATTACCAATACAAAATGCTACCCGTCGGATTATCGACAGCCCCAAGAGTATTCTTCAAGGTCCGAGCCATCGCCGCAACTCACTTCCGCAGGCTAGGGGTAATGATCTTCCCATACTTGGACGACTGCCTCATAAGAGCACCAACTCAGCCTATGGCAGTACAAGCCACACAAAGTACTATAACCCTCCTCACCAACCTAGGGTTTAAAATAAATGTCCAAAAGTCTACCTTGGTCCCGGTCCAGCAACTAGAGTTTATAGGGGACTATCTCGACTGCCTCTCAGCACAAGCAAGACTATCCCAACAGCGATTCCTCAACCTAACCAGACTGATGATAATGATCACAGACAGCCCCCAAACATCCACCAGGCCCTGCCTACAACTCCTTGAGCAAATGGCTGCTACATCTTACGTAGTCAAACATGCCAGGCTCCACACCTGCTATATACCACACAAGCATTCCCTCCACAAATGGCTCACTATGCCCCGCAGAGTGAAGGACTCCCTCAAGTGGTGGACGCAATTGCAAAACATCTACTCGGGGGGGAGGGGGAGTGTCCCATTTCAACAAAAAGTTCCCACTATAACAATCATCACAGCTGCCTCCTCGTGGGATGGGGAGCGCATCTGGACAGCAACACCATCCAGGGATGCTGGTCCCTAGCGGAGACCAACCTGCATATAAACATACTAGAATTCTGAGCAGTCAGGAAAGCATGCGAACACTTCCTTCTGCTTATCCACAGCAATACCATCAAAGTCCTCATGGACAACACAGCCTGCATGTTTTATATAAACTGACAGGGTAGAGCTCAATCGTACCCTCTCTGCATCGAGGCACTACACCTATGGCAATGGTGCATATCCAACAAGATAGACATTTCTGCAGCTTACCTGCCAGGACTTTAGAATACCACGGCAGACCAGCTGAGCAGGCACTTCTCACAAGCCCACGAGTGGGAGATGAACTACCCAACCCTTGTGACCATATTCAACCAGTGGGGGTTCCCTACTATAGACTTATTCGCAACAGCTCACAATACGAAATGCCCTCAATATTGCTCCTGAGCGGGGCTTGGGCACCACTCACTGGGTGATGCTCTTCTCAAAAATGGGAAGTATCACTAATGTACACGTTCTCCCTGATTCCTCGGTTGAGCCGGGTGTTGCACAAAATCAGACCGGACAAGGCCAGGGTCATACTCATCGCACCCACATGGCCCAGACAGACGTGGTTCCCATATTTGAGACAGATGGCGGTGAAAACCACTTCTATCTCTTCCACTGCTTCCTCACATCCTGACACAGGATGAAGGCCGAGTGAATCACCCCAAGCTAGTGGTTCTCCACCTCAAGGCCTGGTTACTCCATGGCTAAAGGGGCTGGATAATGACTACTCCAAGGAAGTTAAAGACATTCTCGTGAATAGCTGCAGGCTGACCACACAGAAAACATACATTTAAAAGTGGGTATGATTCTGCACCGCCTGTGAGGTTAACCACATGTCTCCTCATTCGGCTCCTCTACCTAGGATCCTGGACTATATACTAGGCCTTAAAAATTGGGCCCCTCCAACAGTTCCATAAAGATACACTTAGCTGCTGTTACCCCAAGGGGAGTAAGGTAACGCTTCAGAGAAAATACTAGAAAAATGGTAGGGGGAAAGATAGAAAAGGAAAGCCCCTTTTCTCAGACGAGCAGACTCGGCTCCCTTTCGGTGTCTGTTACCGGTGGATTTAGCTTACAATAAGGGTGTCCTCCCTCTCTGTGTGAAATAATAAAAAATAAAGAGAGACAAGGTAATATGGTGTAAACAAAGGTAAGTGTATTCAGGGCAAAGGTACAGAAAACTGGAAAAAATGGGGGGGGCGGGGAGAAACACAAACTTAACCATACAGTGTTTCAGTGACTGGCTTTAGGAGCTTGAAGCTCAGACCCACAAAACCTCCCTTGGCATTCAGAAAAACAATAAAAGAAACCCCAATACAGAAACCTTTCCTATGATTTAGGCGCAGTGGACACAGCGTGCAGGTGTGAAGCCCAGGACTTTCTACTCTCCGGCTGATTTAGAGCCTTCAAAGAGGACTACTGGGGAATCCTGATGACTGTTGGACTTCGTTGCAGGCGGGGAGACCCTCTGGGAAGATGAACACCAGGAAAGCAGGACCCTCCACAGGTAAAATGGATTCAGTTCGCTGTGACGGGGATAGTGATGACAGGCCTCTCCTTCTTCAACCTCGCTGCGGGATAGATGGTACTCTTCTCTCTAGCTCTGGAGTTTAGGAAGACCCGACCATGCACGCGCTGCCGCTGGAATGGACAGCCACACGCAGTCACTGAGCAGGCTCTTATATAGCCTTTTTGACAGGAAAAACTGGTTCTGTCTGGTTTGAGCCAGAGGACTCCAGTGTCTAAGTTGTAAACAAGTTTGCTTACAAGGATGGAGTCCAAAGGTCGTAGTTCATATACTCCATATTAAATTCTATTAAAGCTAGTGATTCACTTAACATTACCTTAGAAATACATTATTAAAATAACTAATTGAACATATTAAACAACACCAACATTTCTTACTTCTTTATACCTAACACTGCAATCACCTCACTACATGATAAGGTAGATGGAATCACAATCTTTGCTCATCCAACAACTAAATGATTCTTAAAGTGCATGACCAACATCTACCCTCCCTAAAACACCCTACTCCTATATGGACCTTAACCTCCTGCTATGCACCCTCATGGGCAAACCATTCGAACCCCTTGCAACTTGCTCTTTGCTACATCTATCAATGAAGGTTTCCTTCCTTAGCGCGATCACTTCAGTAAGAAGAGTAGGGGAGCTAGGGGCACTAATAGCACACCCGCCCTATACCACATTCCAGAAAGACTAAGTAATCCTAAGAGTCCACCCTAAATGGCTACCTAAAGTAGCCTCCTCATTTTATTTAAACCAACACATTTACTTACCTGTGTGTTTTTTTTTTTTTTTTTTTTTTTTTCCCCAAACCCCCACGCCAATGCCAGGGAGGCATCCCTTCACACTCTCAACGTCCATAGAGCTCTGGACTTCTACCTAGAAAGAACATTTAGAAAATTGTCATGTCTCCTTCTATCAGTCACTGAGCGATCGAAGGGTGAGGCCATCTCTAAACAAAGACTCTCTAAGTGGATTTCTGGCTGTATCCACCTGTGCTATCATCAGAGCAAGATGCCAGCTCCAGCTGGGGTTCGTACCTGGTTGTTTCCACCAGAGCGCTATCCTCATCAGTAGCGTTTCTCAATAACGTACCCATCGTACGTTCTTTGAGATGGTTGTCCCTGTGGATGCTCCACTACCCTCCCTCCTCCCCTCTACTTCGGGGCTTCATGCTGACTCTCTGGGGTAGAGAAGGAACCGAGGGACGGTTGGCTGCACATGCTAAATAGCCGCACGGAGTGGCGCAGCCAACCAGGACACTGCTACCACAAATCGCCGATTACAAGCGCAGGGCGCCCAAGACACCTAAAGTGGAGCACCCACAGGGACAACTATCTCGAACCTCAGTTACTGCACAAGATGAGTAATCTTCTCTTCCTTTGTTGCAAGTTCCGTGCCATAACTCATTGCATCCAGCTTTTTATTCTTGGTCTGAGCCCTAGGTGCCAGAATGGCCCCTTAGGACCGTGGGCAGCTGGGCGTAAGAGAGAACAACTTGCAGCCCTCTCTAAGTTATGTAGTTGCCTGCCTGATTCCCAGCTGGCCCCATGATTGGGGGTGGGGGTAAAGAGGGGGACAGGGGACATAAAAATGTCTCAGGCCATGCTTGTCCCATTCCTCCTGCCTGGTCCTGTGCCAATTAGAGCTCAGCAAGACACCAAAGAACTTCATCCCTGCTTTTTACCTCTCAAGACAGTGGTGTAACTGTACAGTGCTTGCAGTATAACTTCTCTGTGCTCCTATCAACCAAGACAACACATAGATTCAATAAGTGGTAACCAGCACCAGCTTCACCAGTTCCTTCCACAGCACCAGAATAATTATAAATGCATCCAGACCCAAAATAGCTGGACTCTCTTATTTCTGAGGGTTTTTTTTTAACACCAGACATGAAAGGAATAGTATAGTTACAGGAAGGCATAGAAAAGCAAATGATGGAAATAACACAGATAAATTAACAGTCCATTGTTGCTAGTTACTCAAACCAGTATTTGGGGTAATAAATCAGCTTGTTAACAAGTAGCAGGCAGACACAGACATAGGCTATATCTATACTACAAGTGCTTCAGTGGCACAAACATTGCGCTGCAGCTGTGCCGGTGTAGTGTTGATGCTATGGCGACAGAAGGGGTTTTCTGTCAATGTAGTTTAATTCATCCCCTTGAGAAGTGGCAGCTAGGTCAAAGGAAGAATTCTTCTATTAAAGTATCACGGTCAATATCAGGGCTTAGGTCAGCTTAACTACATCTCTTGGGGGTGTGAAATTTTCACACCCCTAAATGACATAGCTCAGTTAATCCAAGTTTTAGTTATAGAACAGGCCATTGTGAGCTTGGTATGGCATCATTGTACACACGTGGATATATAAGATGTTTGCTTGAATTGTCATTTTCTTTGAAAGCCAGATTCATTTTGCAGTGGTAGTTTGGGTTCAAGGTTGTGTATTGCTTCTTGATCTCTTGTATGCTGTGAGCATGTACAAAGGCCTACCGTTCCTTGAACTAGTCCTCGGACTGTCAGATTGAGGCTGTCATTTGTTCCGTGTTTCCCATTGCTTATGTTTCATCTATGCAGATCTCGAATGAAGGACTCCGTTTTCTGAACCAAAGTATGGTGATGCATTTCCTGTAGGGTAATTAATTTAAATATCTGTTTTTATTCTTGTTTTGCATTTGTACTTTTTAGTTTTTTTCCTAAAGAAAGGTTGATTGGTTGGTAACCATTAAAACATGTAAAGTTTGCATTTAGTTGCAAATGTACACTAAATACAGAATTTCTTTTTGCAAACCAGGAGGATATACTGTATCTATACACTTAAGAAATTTGGCTTCACATACATTTATTCACTCTTTATTCACCATTTTATTCCATAAAAAAATGTAAAAATTATGTATTTCTCTTGTACTCGATTATTATTTTACTCATGTTATGGGTCAAGCTGTATTTGGATAGAAAATGGAATTCAGTGAAAATAAACAAAATCAATGTTACAAAAATTATTTTTATTAAATAAAATATCTAAAATATGCTAGATACATATTTATCACGTTTTCATTACAACTAGTTGACTTATTAAACAAAGGAAATATTATCTGTAGTAAGTGAACTGAATTGATTGTTTTTGGTCATCATGTCCTTCCAGATTTCAGAACTAGTAGATCTCGTCATCACACCTCATCTTTATTTATAGAGTGGTAGAGTTAAACAAGCTCTCCTGCTTTTTCAACTCCCAATCAGTTTCTGAATGTTCAATGAGCTAGTCATTAAATTGAACTAATTGAATAAACTGAAATGAAGAATAATTTCACTCTAACTTTGCAGAAGAGGGTATTACTGTCAAAAGCTGGTTTAGCACTTCACCAGACTGTTTCCCAGTGCTTAGCTAGTGACTTCCCCCAGTTCAGTGGCTTGATTTACTTTAAATCTTTGTACTGCACAATATTCTTTATTTAAATAATTTTAATATTTACAGTAAGTTTAGGCCTTGATATAGATGTTGTAACTTCAAATGTAATTTGAAATAGGTTTCATTTTTAAAAGAAAAATATATTTAATTTAAAAAATCCAATTAAAATAAATGTTTTTATTTTTATTTTTAAATTGATATTCTAACTACACTGATTTCCAAGCAGCTGTTGTTAAATTTTTGAATAATTGGGATTTTGAAATGCTTTAAAGGGAGTAGAGTGACGGGTATTTCCTAGAATCCAATAGATTGGATTTTTATCAAACTGTGTATTGAAGGCATTTTGCAGGCTATTGGATATGTGTGGCCAGAAGTGTTAAGTATCAGGCCAGTTCTGGAAGAGTGTGTGTGTGACATACCACTGCAGCAAAAAGCAGGGATGCTTGGATTAATTCAGTTGTTGATAACTGGCCCGTAGAAGACAGATGGGATTTATTTGCCACTGGAATTTTCTCCAAGACTGTGGTATGCCTGTGCTGATGGGTGCTCAGCACTCATAGAAAAAAATTTGTGGGTGCTGAGCATCCATTGGCAGCCAGCTCCCTCTCCCCCCCCAACGCCTCCCATTCACTGGCAGCCCCAACCAAGTAACTCCTTCCCCTCCCTACCAGTGCCTCCCGCCTTCTGCGATCAGCTGTTCTGCGACATGTAGGAAGCCCTGGGGGGGAGGAACGGGGATGGGGCACGCTTGAGGGAGGAGGCAGAACTGGGTGGGAAGAGGCGGCGGGGGGACTTGGGAGAAGGGGTGGGCAAGGCTGGGGGTGGAGTGGGGGTGGGAAGAGGCAGGGCAGGGTGGGGGTTTGGGGGAAGGGGGTAGGTGTGGACAGGTCCTGGGGCAGAATGGGGAATTGAGCACCCCTGGGGCCCGGAGGAAGCCGGCAGCTATGAAGAGTCATTTTCACTGTGATTTTGGCATTCTAATCCTCTGTCTCTTACGCAGTGATTGGTCTGTTGCTGCATCTTGCAGGGCTGCAGATAGTTATGAAAATACAACCTCTCTAGTTTGTACAGTTGGGTCATTTGTTCAAATGGTTTTAGACCTGTAATCTCAAAGCATTTGTTCACGAGAATTGATATTTTCTGCTGCTATCTATTTGGGGTGTCCTGAGAGGCCAGATGTTGAGCCTGGGGTATCACACACATGTATTAGTCAGGAAAAAGAAGTTGTGATGCCAGTTCCTTTACCTGGACACATTGAAAGTGGTTTTTTTAGTGTCTTGAAAGGGCTAACTGTTGCATGCACAGACACACTTTGTGGGTGGTGTTGCAAATCCATTTGAGTCAATATTTTATTTGCCCTGATAAAGACTATAAACCCTAATGCTTCAGGGCGTAAGTCCCCCACTAAATGATGGGGGTTAGGAAGAAATTTGGTCTAAGAAGTTTTTTCCATAATTGTCCACTATGAAGCTTCTTGCATCTTGCTTGCAAGGCCCTGGTGCTGGCCCTTGACAAGCTACTGGACTAGGTGGACCAGTAATCCAATCTGGTATGGCAATTCCTATGTTTCCTAAGGTGATTCCTGTACAGTTACCAGGGACACTTCTCAGTTAGTCTTAATTTGTGTAATACATACCTCATGTCTTCCTATGAATTGTTTTATGCAGTGTTGTGGTAGCTGTGTTGGTTCCAGGGTATTAGAGAGACAAGCTGGGTGAGGCAATATCTTTTATTGGACCAGCTCTCACCAACAGGAGCTGCTCCAATAAAATATTACCTCATCCACCCTGACTAAATTGTTTGTCAACCAGAAGTTGTCATTATTTGGTGTAAAATCTAGGATTTGCTTGTGTGGAAAGGCGCACAGATACCATGGGGATGGGGGTTATATTTATGTACTTACAATGATTTGAGAGAAAAGAAGGGGGAATCTTACAGTCTAAGCTTTACAATATTTCTGCTGGAGGAACAAGAACTATTTCAGACCATACTTTGTGACAAAGCAAGTGTAGGCTTTGATTTTGGGATGATGATTTCTCCAGGTATCTGTTAATCCAAGCACCTTCATTGAGTCATTGAATCTTTCAGAGGCCTTATCTTGTGAAAGAGTGTGAAATGACTGGCCTGTAGTAGAATTTTGTGCATCATTTAAATCTCCTTATGTATGAGTTGTGACACAAATTAGGTATTGCCTTTACAATATTGAAGGATCTGCATTTGAGGTATAAATATTTAGTAGTGAGACTTTTCTTTTGATTTCCCCTGATAGTATTCTGCTATCTGAATTGTTCGTTTAAGTTATGGGTAGTTCAAGGGATGCGCTTTTGTTAATGAGAATTACACTGCCTGCTTTTAATTATTAGATTTTGAATGCAAAGAGTTGGAAACCTGATGTGTCCAATACCCCTTTGAGTTTTTAATGGTCTTGAGTGATCAAATATTTCTTACAATTCCCAACAGACACACATTTCCCCCTATGGATAGACTGAATCTTTACATATATTAAGATGGGTTTGTGAGCAAGCTATTCCTTCTTTCACTCTCTTGTCCTTCTAAAGGGGAGCTGAAGATGAGAAAAGAGTAACAGCCAAAGTAAAGCACTTTATCCTGTCCTTTCTCTTCTGCAGGTCTTTGGCACTACTTGCTTGTAATGGGTGGAGGTGGTATTATAGAGTTTGGAGCTGTCACTCTTACCCTGTTGTATTATTGTTGTAATAGTATACATGAGCCGTGAGACATTGCGTCGTCTTCCTCCTCCTCCTTAGAAAGAACTCTTTGGAAAGACTTTTCTACTGTAGGTCTCCTTTAAGGACAAATCATTAGTTTCTAACACTACCCTATAACAGAGATAGTTCTTGAGGACTTCTTTTCTTAGCCCTGAACCTCTACAGCAATTGCTCTTTGGGGCCATCTAGCTCCAAATTTTTGCTTGCATTCTTACAGTGGTAGGTCTAATGGCTTTGGGTCAGGCTCTCCAACCTGAAGCAGCATTTTTTGTCATTTCAGGCGCCAGCTTCCTTTTAACAACCTTTACCATGATGAAGCCAAGTTGGCCTAGTGAAATTCTTTATAGAGAGGTTCTAACAAGTAATACTGATCTACCCAGAAAACCTTCTGGCACCCTTTCCGAGGATTACAATGTACAATACTAAGACACTTGTAAACACTATTGGCATCACATTCCTTGATTATATACAGAGGAAAGTAGTCCCTTTTTGTTACCAACAGCTAATTTTTATCACATCACCTCTGGATGTAGAAAACAGGAAGCCGGGAAGTGTAAGGAAACTCATTATTAATATAGCAACAGTCTATCTTATCTATCATTGTGTGTAACCCATGAGTGAATTTGAATATGTGGAAAATCTATAAACTAGTTCAGGATTCCCAGGAAAGAAATTTTAATGTTAGTACAAAATGTATTAAACTGAAACACTGTATAGAACATAGCTGTGAGGTCATCTTTATGGTCTCTCTGTGTGTGTGATGGTGTTTATGCCATATGTACAGATTAGACCTGTTAGATAACCACCACATGTTTACAAAATAATCATAGAATCAATTCCTTTATTTCTGTAATCCTGGAGTGAACTGCATTTATTTTCACCTTTGATTACCTCATCTGCACTTTGCCCACTAATCCTTCTCTGCCAGGATTACATTTTCACACACTTTGACTATCTTGCAAACAGCTGTCATTTTAAAAAAAATGTTTTGTTCGGGTAAAAACAGACCTTGAAAAAGACCAATAATCAGTCCTGAATCAATGGCAAATTTAAATTCCAATCTCTCCCTGCCCAACATACACTTGTTTTATTTTACTACAAAGACACAGCTTTCCAAATGAGATATAGGGCTGGTCTACTCTACGGGGTTAAGTCAACCTAAGTGACGCAACTCCAGCTACGTGAATAATGTAGCTGGTATCATCGTACCTTAGGTCGACTTATTGCGGTGTCTACATGCACTGGGTCAATAGGAGAAACTCTCCCGTTGACTTACCTTATGCTTCTCGTTCCGGTGGAGTACCGGAGACGACAGAAAAGTGATCGGTGGTTGATTTAGCGGGTCTTCACTAGACCCGCTAAATCAACCCCTCCCCTGCAGTGGATTGACCGCTGCAGCGTCAATCCACTGGTAAGTGGAGACAAGCCCATAGCAGCATTTCTAGGCCTGGCAGCTCATGAGATATTGTACCTCACAACTGCAACATCTTTTATAAATAAAAAAAATATTTTAGATACATTTTAGCAGAACTAATTTCTCTTTTTCTACCTCTACATTTGAATTCACAGGGCCAGATTCTAGTCTATGCTTATGTAACTCATGGTCTTCAGTGGAGTTACTCTTGATTTTATACTGGTATCCTGTCAGAATCAGGCCCATTGTATTTAAGACTGAGGGATTAAAAAGTAGTAATAACTATTATATAACAGTTTAAAACTTTTTCATAGGAGCATTTCTGTGAAATACGTGGCATAAACAAAACACATTTAGCACATTGTGGTAAAAGAATTTTATTGGTGCTTTTTTTGCACTGACCTACTTAAGTCTTTCATGGTTTCACCAGTCCTGAGTAATGATGGTCATTCCATACATGTGCCAGTAAAACATGTACAATTGCCACATAGTTTTGTATTCTGTATCTAAATCACACCATTGAAAACAAGGGAATAGTTACAATTAGCCGTCTATTAAGAATAAAAAGTCTTGATAGTGCATATGAATAAAGAAAGCCCTTGAAGAATCGAGGTCACTTGCCAAATTGTTCCTTTCAAACAAAGATTACATGGACATCATCTTCCACGTTACATCCAGGTGCAAAGACAATCTACACACTGCAACACCAAACTCTCTCTTTAACTAATCATTCTTGACTATACATGGAAGTACAGCGTGACTGACAGTTCTAGTTTAATAAAGGAAATAAAATCTGAACAGCCATCCTCACTGATTTTTTTTTGTGTAGTTTTGATTTTGGAATTAGTACAGTATGTTTTGAATGGATGTGTAGAAAGTTTGCTTAACACTGTGAGGTAAGTTTTATTTCCTGTTTACTGCTCTTCCACTTTTTTCCTCCTCCTTGTTTTTGTGTGTAGTAATCTAATCTCGGCTTGTATAATGCAGGGAGATTTAAATTCAGTGAAATACTCCACATTTTCCAAAGCATTAGAATCGGAAAACCATTCAGGCTATGATCATATGCTGTGTGAACCACTTTAACTTTATCAGACTGCTGCAAACTCTGTGTAAGTGCTTTATCTTGAAAGAAATCAGAGGCTGACTTGTTTACTTTTGTGTGGATATAGTGCTGAGTGATTGACCAAGCACTATGTGCAAAACTGTAGTGTCCCATATTAAAACTTACTAAAACTGTGAAGTGCTTTAGTAAGCCCAGCATTAGCCCAAAGCCCCAAAACCTTACATTTTTTCCCAAATCTATTTTGCCCAAATTAAAGGAACTCACTGCTATGCTATAAAGCAATTTGTATGATACATTTATATTTAAAAACCTCCTGGTACAAATTTAAAATCCTTTTGTATTTTCCATTGAAAAAATATAATATGCATCTATTTTAACATTCATAAAAACCCAAACTTCAGGTAAACTTAAGATAAATTCTTATAATAGAAAAACCCTTAAAACCTAATCCAAGACACATTAATTTTATGAGTAAAGGTAAGAAACTTCAAATCCTACATCTGATTGAGAAAGGAACATCTTAAAGCTCCAGAAAAGTGACAAAGTTTTCACTAGAAACTCTCTAATTTTTTACTAAAAGTGTGCTACCAAACAAATAATATTGAACTAACCTTGAGGGTTAGGGGCCTTTTTTCACCAGACAGACCTTTCTTCAAGACAGACAGAAATACATTTAGTTCCCCACTGCCACCATCAAAGCAGGATGGTTTTAAAATATCAAGACATTATGTATAATTTTAAAATAAGTCCTCCTTGGGTCTTTATAATTGATTTTACAAAAGATTACTTTTCCACAGATGGCAAATTAAGACTAGTATATTTTTATTTTGTTCTTAAGACCAGCGGTGCACCTTTGACAGGGGAGGATACTCCAGTGGTAATTAGCTTCAGATTTTCACGTAAAAAGTTGCGCTGTCGAACTGTGGCTGACCTCATGTAACCACTAGTAGAAACTACTTTTGCTGACGCAGTCGGTGGTGTGGTCTGTGGAGGCAGCCCATTGATCTCATATGTCCATTGCATTGATGCTGTCTGAAAACAAAGAGGAGAAATTGGATATAAAGCAGTCATGGCCTAATCTTGAAATATGTAATAGCTATTTAACACAATGCTTTTAATTAGAAAGCCATTTGTTGTTCTCCATGTAGGGTCCCTGAAAGTCACAAAACCAGAACTGCACCCACAGAGAAAAATATTATCATGTAAAACTAGGAAGAGCATTTTATTTTATGAGCTAAGGGTAGTGCACTTAAAAAAAGACACACAGCCTAGCCCTCTAAGTGATCTACACGTTCCTTTTTATAGTGAATAACAGTCATGTATGTTGTTTTGAAAGAGTTATTTCACAGCATGCTGTGAATGAAAGGACTGAATGGGTTGCTAGGTTTATTTATACGCTAGAATTTATTTGTGGCTCTTGTAATAAATGGTATTCTAAGTTTTGGTGACTAGTTGGGTCAAGATAATTAATACAGTGAGTCCTACTTTTCTAGTTATGTTATGGAAAGTGGAACTATGGACTCATATTGTAAACTCTAGTTTAGGAATCTTAAATGAATTTAACATGACATTCTTTACCTCTTTTATGTATATTTCTATGTATGCAGCAGTGACCCAGCCAGGCATCATCTAGTTGTGTAGTACACCTCTATCTTGATATAATGCTGTCCTTGGGAGCCAAAAAAATCTTACTGCTTTATAGGTGAAACCGCGTTATATTGAACTTGCTTTGATCCACCAGAGTGCGCAGCCCTGCCCCCCCAGAGCACTGCTTTACCGCGTTATATCAGAATTCGTGTTATATCGAGGTAGAGGTGTATATATTTCTGTGTCCAATCGGCAGTCATCTCCTGTATTGCTTGTGTTTATTAAAGCAGAATGGTTCTTGCTGTCATCCCGTATATGTATGCTCAAACAGCATTGATCATGTAGTTAATTGCCTCTTATAGGCATTGATCATGTAGTTAGTTAATTCTTATGTGCATGTCAAAGCTTCAGTGCTCTCTTATCTCCTCTACCTATCTGTGATTGTCAACGCAGAATTATGATTGCAGTCATTTCCTGTATGTATGTGTCTGGCTAGGTGGGATCTTGCAGTCATTTCTTCAATATCTTTGCCTAAACTGCCTTAATTTTTAGAGGCATTTCCTCCCTCTGAGTCATTTTAGTACTATCCTTCCTGTCATATTGTGTGTGTGTGTGTGTGTGTGCGCGCGCAGTAAGCATCTTTCAATTATTTCGTCTGCAACTAATTGTCAATTCATTGATCTGTAGGTTTCTGTTGCCTTTTGCCCTTAAACTCAGGCCTGGATTACTACAAAATGTCTTAATTGTGAGGTCTTCCAATGGGGTTGGAATAGCGTGACCAGGCTAAAAGAATGGCCTGGTGCAGAGCCTGGTGTAGATGATAGTCCCTCTTTCTCTCTGCTTTGTGATCTATGGCTGCAGTAACGCCTACATAGCTGCTTTGGGGGAAGGGGAAGAGGGGGGCAGTAACCACGGATTGTAACATGTCTCCCTCTCCCCTACACCCCAAAAAAGAGAAAACAAGATGATATAGAATCCTCTCCTCTCTCCCACTTCCAGGTACAAGGGTTTTATTACTAAAGGTAATTAACATGTATATAGTACTTTTATGCATTTACTGTGCTGAACAAGCATTAAATGATCTTCACCACACCATTTAGATGTTATAAATAGGCTTGGAAGGATTAGATATTTATCTGTAAATGTTGATTTCACCCAACAAACACGAACCAATGAAAACAGAAATTTCCATTGATAACAAACGAAATTTACAGAATGGCAAAGTAACAAAAATGCTGCTTGAGAACTTACTAATCTTTGATTTAAGGATAACGTGGGGGAGGTAATATATTTGATCTTTTGATTTAAGAATATTTATTTTGTATATTTAGATGTGATGCTGGCAATTTGTGTTTTAAAGTTTTAACTTTTTTTTTAAATCTGTCTGCGGTCATTAAATAATTGTCTGACACCTCCCATAATTTTCCTCAACTGTACACATTTAAATCAAACAAAAAAATGCGTAAAACTTGTAATTTCATGCAACTGTGAACACTAAAAATAGGAGGGGAAATCTTAAAAATATCTATCACCCACTGAAAGTATTAAAATAAAAATTGAATTCTGTCAACATAATTATAAATCGTATTATCCCACAGTTGCAGATGGGAAAGCTGAGAATTGGGTGGATTGCATTCCCTAAGGAACTCAGAAGATCAGTGTCGGAATCAGACTTAGAACTCAAGTGTTACTCCCAATTTTATGCTGATTCCACTAGACTATGCTGCTTGTAGGACAGCCTGCTTCATTAGCTGTGTAGCCTATTCAGTCTTCCTACTATGGGCATTGTTGGAGGACTTTTGACAGCTGTATAGTGTCTATGCTCCAGGATTGGGCATGCTTTTTCCTTAGATCTGAGTGGGATTCCCCAGCCTCAATTTGACCCAAAATATAAAATAAATAAAACCCTCAGACCAAACATGGATCATCCAATACATATGGGATCAAACATTCCCAGAGTATGCAATGTTAATTTCTATAATTATTTAATGAATATGGCCTGGATAAAGCACTACAAAATAAACTAAAAGGAATAGTAGGTCTTCTCCATCTCTCATTTCCACTACAAGCATCCCATGTTTGCAACAATACACATGAAGACAATTAGAGGGATGTGAGAAGTGGGGCACACAAAAAAATATTTATCTGTTTCTAGTTTGTCATCAGTCTTATGGTTTGCTGTTCATAACAGATTTCAAATATCAATAATTTTTAGCTCTAGAGTCAATGCAATAATACTTCCCCATGACATTAACTGCCATCCTGCCACTGCTAAAGTATATATTAAATGTGACTTCCAATTATTTGCTTGTGTTCATATCACAGATAACTAGTGTGCACAGGTTCCAGGGCATTAGATTGTATGTTTTTTGGGGCAGGAGCTGTCATGTATAATGTGGTTGTACCGCTCAACCCAGTTGTGACTTCTAGATGCTACTACAATATAAAATATTTAATGTTAATGCTCCTTTTTATTAAACTAATCTCTAAAATTAAACAAGAAGCTTAACTGTGAATGTGTTTTATCTATGCTCAAAAACTTGTCACTCTCACCAACTGAAGTTGTTCCAAACAAAGATATTACCTCACCCACCTTGTCTCACTGAGAGAGGAAGCAGCCTCTTTTGCTGAGTCTTTAATATCAGAACACCTTTCCATTTATAGGGATTTTTTTTTTTTTGAAAATGGTTGGCTTTAAAATTAGCACTCTTGACTTTACATGAGGTGGTAAATTAATTACCTATGCTAAACAGAATTACTCTGCAAAAGTCATGATATTTCTGAGATATACAAACACCAAAATAAAGCGTAAGATCATTAGATCTTTCAGCATGCATGTATAATATTTTTTTTAAAAAACCCTCATTACCATTCCACTAAAATCTGAATCAAAAACTAATTTTATATTGAGTGTTATGTATAACAAACTGATTAGTTAATCCTTATCCTAAACCCTATTTAATACTATACATTGATGGATCTGCCTTCATTTTCTGAGAAGATAAATGCAGTCAAGAGCAGGTGCTGACAAAGCCAGCACCAGGTCCAAAGATAACTGTCATATTTAAACATAAATTTTCCTCTGTGGTTAGCTAATTGCCTTATTAACTCCAGCAGAAGGTGAAATGGTTTCTTTCTTCATTATGTCAGATTAACAATTTAGTTTGAAGAAAATTTAACCTCAGGATCATACTCATTGTGTGCATGATTCATTAAACACTTCAAGGCCGGAGAAAAGATCTGATAGGCTGGAGCAACTAAAATTTACACTGATGTACAGAGTTGCTAAGAAATCATTCCTGCTCATAAAATCCATAGGTGATGTAATTTTACAATCTGTAGTATTCCTATATTGTTTTGGGCAGGTTCTATCAGCAGTTTTATTACCCAGCAGTTTTTAAACAAACTCTGTTGCCTTGTGCTTTTTGATATTTGATCACTACATATGCATGTTTATGTTCATTTCTGCTGTATTTGTAATGAAGTATATCATCCATTGTGCTGCCTTTTCACCAGTGCTCTCTACTAATGTGCATTGTTAACGAAATGGCAGTTACATAGCTATAGTAGATTTGAAGTCAATAAAATACCATTGAATCATGTTCCTTCTGAGTTTCCTCCTCTTATTTAAGATGGAAAGAAATTTATGATATGAAGAGAGATTTGGGATGGATCTACTGTAATGTACTGAGACTAAGTATTCTTTAAAGATTGTTGTAGTCCATCATGAATTAAAAAAATAATGATTTAGGATTAAGAATTATAAGATGACCAAAACCAATTCCTTTCTTAATGGACTGTCATGATGAACTGTCCCTTTTAGTTGTAGCTAATTTATAATCTGCAACAATGTAGTTCACCTGGTATAAAACTCCTGCTATTAACCAAGGACTGAAGTAAATATTTCTTACTGTGAAATGATGTGTTTAAAAGGGAGGCCCCCTTTCTTGGATGCAGAGTTTGCTAAAGGGGCAACTGCTATTATTTCTAACATAATGTTTAATATTGTACATCAAATAACCCACCATTTACTACAGTTTTACTCATTATGAATATTCTGATCATCATGACACCTGCAGATTGGCTCACACTGCCAAATTCAGATCCAAATCTGAATGGTTAAACACATTCAAACTCCGGATCCTTGGTCAGATTCATTTCAGTGAGAGAGACTTGAGCAGGGAATGTTTGGGGAGTGAGGTTCAGACCAAGCATTTTTTTTTTATTGTCTGGATTTATCTTACAGCATTAAATGTATTTTTCATTAGTGGAGGAATATCTGAAATTTGGTAGGTTCTTCAACCAGGAAAATAGGTAAAGGCATTGATGTTGTGGTGGGGAAGAGACACACTGCTTCTTTGACCTTGAAAGGTTTGCTCCGTATAATCCTACGTCCCTTACTTGCACACGTAGTCCCATTGACTCATGTGTAAAAGTTACTGTGT